AGGGGGGTAGACGATATTTTTCATTGAAATCGGGCTTTAAAGCATCACCACATTTTAAAATATTCTTGGATATGAATAAATGTTCCTTAAATCTTTTCCTTTGTTTTACTCATATAAAATTAAACATATATTATTAATGAAATACAATGTTTTACTTGTAAACCCCTTTGAAATCCATGAAAAAATAAGCATTTTTGTAGTTTTTTGTCTGTAAACATGTCCCCCCCCCCCCCCCCCCCCCCCGGTGAAACACAAAAAGCTTTGGTATGAATTTGTGAAATGACAGTCCATATTACCTGTAAAAAGGAATTTTTTTCACGGGGGTGGGGGTGGGGGTGAGGGAAGATGTTTTAAAAATATTTTCCGTTTTCCATTGATTTCTATAGTGAAAAAATAAGTTTTACCAAAATTATAGAGTTTAACCCCTGCGAGAGTACCAAGAATAATTCTTGAACTTTTAAGAAAAGTTCATGAATTATATTCTTGAATCTGCTCATGAAATATTCATGAAGATCCTATGAAGTTAAAATTGGACACTCATGATTTCATGAATTTTATTCATGAAAACCAAGTTCAAGAATATTCATGAATAGTGGGTTGTTCATGAACATAATTGAGATTTTCACAGCTACAATCAGAGTTCATGAACATTCAAGAAAAGTTCATGATTTATATTTTTGAATCTGTTCATGAAATATTCATGAAGATCCTATGAAGTTAAAATTGGACACTCATGATTTCATGAATTTTATTCATGAAAACCAAGTTCAAGAATATTCATGAATAGTGGGTTGTTCTTGAACATAATTGAGATTTTCACAGCTACAATCAGAGTTCATGAACATTCAAGAATGTTCTTAATGTTCCTGAATTTCATGATTAGGTCATTAGGACCTTAAAAAATGAAATCAAATACATGTAAAATATTCAGTTCTTCATTACAACGTTGTGTTAAGTTGTAAAAAAATGCCTAGAATATTTTAAACTAAACAACCAATTGATTTACTGAATCATGCAGTAATACCCCAGTCTGTACAATTACAGTCTCAATTTTTACAATGGACCTGTACCTGTGCATTCAACTTGAATCATCCAGGTTATGTTATACCACAAATAATAAAAAGGAATTTATATAAAATACATTACATAAAATCATAATGCCTTTATACTCTGATTTTTTTAAAAAAAGGTGTCAGCTAAAATAGAAAACGTATAATTATTAACATTTAAACAATTGTTGCATAATTAAATGTTCTCAATTCTCATGCAGTGTTTTTTTTCTTTCTTTCCACTTTCTGGATATTTTGAATCTTTTCTCTTAAATCTTTGCGGTTAAAGGATGGGAATTTTTCATATATGATCTCTTCCATCAATCTAATTTTATCCTGATCCAGTGGAAGTCTAGGTCCTCCTTCCCCACATTTGAATGTTTTCTTCCCAGAAATTGATGAACTTCTAATTTCATCCAGGGTAAACAGTTGCTTCAATAGAAAATTGACAGCTTTTGGGGCATCAAACATACCTTTTATGTCACTTTTCAGTTGATTTTTTCTTACGTCTGACCCACTCAACTGATCTGAATCTGTTTCATTAGGTGCGTTTTTCTCCAATTCATTCACTCTTTTTTTCAACCTTTTAATATCTTTCTTCAGGTTTTCAACCTCACTCTCCAAACGCTCCAATTTTCTCTTCTCCCTAAAAGGAATATATGTTTGGAAATAATATAAATTCAAAACATACATAGAGAAGAAGGATTTTTTTTTTTCAAAAGAAGGAGGGTACAAAGTGACATTGGAGGCCAGGAGAGTCTCAAAAAAAAATATATATATATATATAAAGGATATTACCTGCTCTTTTTTATGGACTTTTCCATGCCCCTGCGAAGAGTGAAGGCATCAGAGTCATTGTTCTCATCTGTTTAAAAAAAAATTTTAAAATTTGATTCTAGTTTCACTTTCAGTTCAAGGTTCAGATTACTTTCAATCAAATATTTTCCACTATTCAGGAAAAGAACTCTAAGATTTTTTTTCTGATCAATACAAAATATCCGAAACAAATATTCCACAAATTGAAAATAATTAAACACTCATTTTTCTTACCAGATGTAAACAAACTGTCTAAAGTAGCATCAGTGCTTGCTAAAGCAGGGCCTGTTTGTGTTGAGGGGCTATTGGATAGGCTACTTGGAGTTCCCTGTGGGGCTGCTGCACTACAAAAAGGCTCTTCGGGTGTTGAAAAGCTATAAGAAGGTGCTCTAGGAGTTCCCTGTGGGATAGCTGTACCACTGGAAGTATCTTTGGATGTTGGAGGGTGATGAGATGATCCTTTTCCTTGCGGGGTAACTGTACCACTGGAAGTCTCTTTGGATGTTGGAGGGCGATGAGATGATCCTTTTTCCCTGTGGGGTAACTGTACCACTGGAAGTCTCTTTGGATGTTGGAGGGCGATGAGATGATCCTTTTCCTTGTGGGGTAACTGTACCACTGGAAGTCTCTTTGGATGTTGGAGGGTGATGAGATGATCCTTTTCCCTGTGGGGTAACTGTACCACTGGAAGTCTCTTTGGATGTTGGAGGGCGATGAGATGATCCTTTTCCCTGTGGGGTAACTGTACCATTGGAAGTCTCTTTGGATGTTGGAGGGCGATGAGATGATCCTTTTCCCTGTGGGGTAACTGTACCACTAGAAGGCCCTTTGGGTGTTGATGAGCAAGGAGATGGTCCTTTTCCCTTTTTTGGTGTAATCCTCACATTTTGATGAGAAATTGGTGCTGGCACTATGAAGAAAAAAATTAATTTAAATATAACAGCTGGATAAATGTTGTTCATTCTGCATGAAACAAGAATGTGATTAAGGACTAAAAATAAGTAGATACAATATGATGGTGATATCAGATATATTGGCCCTAGGTTTTTGTTGTCAAAAGCTTCCTTGACAGCTAAAAACATGGATTTTTGCTTGAATTAGGTGTATATTAGAGAACTTTATTACCTTTTTTGGGTGTTGATGAGCAAGGAGATTGTCCTGTTCCCTTTTTTGGTGTAATCCTCACATTTTGATGAGAAATTGGTGCCGGCACTATGAAGAAAAAATTAATTTAAATCTAAGAGCTGGTTAATATGTTAATTTTTGTCGGCATTTTTAATAATTTACTTTAAATGGGTTCGTTATTACATACATACATGTTATTTTCAGTGAATATGTTTTATTCCTCAGGGATCGACATTAACGGTTGTCCGATTGCCTGGGACAAGTAAATTCTCAGTTCGGACAAGTGAAACTGTCAACTTACTTGTCCGATCAGGCAAGTGAATTTTTCTGATAGAAATTATATTGGTATCTAGTTTACATTAATTATAAATAAAACAATAGATTGAACACTTGATTTCCGCCAGATACGCGACTGACATTGCTCCCTTGGATTTCTTGATTATATCGTTCATTAAAAATCGAGTTCGTTATTCTTTTTTTATTTCATGTTAAATACGCTCTGCGTATTACAACTTTGTTAACTACTTAATTCATTCAAACCGACAGAATATAACATAACCTATCCTGATCAAGATATGTATGTTTCAAAGCAACTATCTTCCTTAGCGTTGCATCAATCAAAATTCACAAAACAAAATGATCCTACCCAAAATGATTTTTTATTAAAAAGGAAATGGATGGTTATTGATGCCTTGCAGTGTGTGTTTACAGATTAAATTGACAAGGAAATTGGTAGCATACATTCATGTCCAAACATACCATCTACATTTTTTTAGGTACCTCAACTTGCCAGATTTACAGTAGTGTATCTGTTCACACTTTTTCTTATCATAATATTTACGGCAATAAATTATTTTCCTATTTGGGCAACCAAGTTTTGCATTCGGACAAGTCAAAATTTGAGATCACTTGCCTGAAGGGCAAGTGAATCTGAAAGTTAACGTCTATCCCTGTTCCTATAGCAACATTTCAACTTAAGTATAAAGTAAAAAAAAAAAAAAAAGAAAGAAAAGAAAAATCAAAAACTATAGACCATGATTTGAACAACAATCCTCAAGAAAGGTTTAAATACTTCAAAACAGTTTCTCGCTGACAACTACACTATCCAGTCACATATATATGTCATTTGTATAGCACATTATGTACGCATATGGATTGGCTTAATCCCCCCACTTTCTTTGATATTAAGTATTGACTGTGCTACTTATGACTGTTAAATTGAAATAATATACATTCTGTATAAAATTTTGGTATGTGTATTTGATTAAGCATGTTAGTAATCTTCTTGTAAATGCAAACAATTACTAAGATCTGTATGAAACTATAGGACCAATATGTATTTGAAGTTCAGGTATCAACAGAATACTGATACTCTGTAAAAAAAAAAAAAAAAAAAAGAAGATAAGTATTGATATATATTGATTCACCCCTACTGAGGGCTATCATCTAATCCACAGAAGTCAACATACCACTCTTCATGAAAACTCACTGGTCCAAAGACCGAGGCCAGTGAATTTTGATGTCGGGTCAGTGAATTGAGCTGGTTACATCGGCTCCCAAAAAGTGCGCCATCTTTCTATAGCAGGTGGCATCGAAATTTGTAACAATGACATTTCACACCCCGTTCTTTTACTAATTAAAAAGAATCTTCTGTTTTGCTATTTTGAGTAAACGTAAACAAAAGGACCCCTCGAAATTTCAATAAAGGTGAATTTTAAAGAAAACACAAGAACTAATTAACTCTAATTGAATAATCTCCCAAACGATAATTCATAGGCGGCCAATTAACTCGGGGAACGATTTGCATTGCAACTTCAATAAACACTCGGCACACCTTGGCCGATTCGTACCTCATCGTTTGATGAAGGTGACGGAATCAGCCGAGGTTTGCCGAATGCTTCAATAAAATATTTAAGTCTACTTTTGATTGGATGGTACGAGAGGTGATTTTATAACATTAAATCCGATTAGTCAAAAATTAAAAGGGGCGCTAAATTTATAACACCAGACATGGAGACGAGATATTATGCACTCATTGAATGGGAGGATAGTTATGTCAGCATTATTGATGTAATAACAATTCTTCATCCGCGAAAAGATGTTATTAAATATCAAGAAGGTGAAGCTGTCAAGGCGAAATTTAGGGGAGCAGTATATGAAGCAGTCATATGTGAAATAAGTGGTAAGTTCATTTGAGCTTAAGCAAAAGACCTCTATTTTAAGGCTTATCGTAACATTTTATTTAGTTATTAATATTTATCTATATTTTTTATGTTAATATATAATACATTAGTTAATGTAGAAAAACCCACTTATTTAGGATAAGGGTAAAACGTTTAATAGAGTTATAAAAAGGACAACAAAATAAGTTGAATATCTACATTCTCCAAAACTTTTGTCCCTTGGTCGCCATTTTTTGGAGGGAAAAAACATTTTTTGTTTCATAATAGCCTTTGTAGTTTAGGGTTTTTAAACTTCCGTCATTTGACATTAGTCTTTTAGATTTTCCCTGTGATTCAGCAATTCCTGGCTTTGTATACATGTAATTCATTGTTGCAATTTTTTTAGAAGACAGAAAATACTTGGAGGATATGAAAAAGAAAGGCCTTTTAAAACATAGATTCTGTGCAAGTCAAGATAGAGAAGAAGGTATGTGTATGGAATACAATCCTATATGTATTACTTTTCAAACATGATATGAATTTTAATATACAGTATTTAGAGAACTCGTGAACTCCTTCATAGATCAAGAGGAAATGATGCATGTTTGTAAATTATGTTACTTAGCTTCAATAATGTAGCCCTCTCCGATATTTTCTATCTGATGTTTTCTGGAGAGGGCTACAATTCCACAGGATATCCGTAATGCCTATAAATAGTGCGGATGTATTTCTTGGATACAGGCAACTAGTACTGCACGCCATATAAATTTAACTTTTGCATTCAACTTCAAATAAAGTTGATTTTTACTTCACCATCAAAAACCTAGCCCTTTATACATGTACGCTAAAGTTAAAATTAAACTGTGTGTTTACAGCAGCCATGACAGTTCTCGTGTGATGTACAGAGACTTCCACTTGAAATTTAAAAAGGCTTGATAAAGTAAATGTTTGTGTTGTAAGGTATCTGGGTACACATTGATAAATAAGTGCATTCCATGGGGTTTTATAAACATCAGTATTTATGCTTAAAAAAGGGAATTCCTAAATAGACCTCTGCTCCCTAAGATCCCAAATTCTCATTGGCTATCCCAAAATAAAATTGATCAAGGTCAGTGAAAATGGCAGACGAATTCAAGTTGTGATGTTGAAATAAAAGAATCAATATATGGATAATATTCAGCATATTCATGTCTTGTATAAACTAAATTTTTTGAGTTCAGGTAATGTTAAGAAAGATAGCAATTTACTGATATTTGAGCCCAACTCTGTGCAGGAGTCAGAATCACTCCAGCACTTGTACCGTTACAGAGATCCTAAGGAGTTTTAGCCCCCCTTCCTAAAAAAACAAAATTGGAGAGGGCTACATTATTGCAGCTGGTATAATGTCAGGGATGGACATTAATGGATGTCTGATTGCCCGGGACAAGTAAATTCTCAGTTCGGGCAAGTGAAACTGTCAACTTACTTGACCAATCGGGCAAGTGAAATTTTTTTTCAGAAAGAAATGTATACTGTTATCTAGTTTACATTGATTTATAAATAAAACAATAAATTGAAGACTTGATTTCCGTCAGATACGTGACTGACATTGTTTTAGCATTTGGAATCCCTGGGTAGCGGCTAAATACTGATCATTTAAAAATCAGGTTTGTTATTCTGTTTTCTTTCGTGATGTCTATGCTTAACAACTTTATACTTTATAACCTACTTAATCGAAATTCATTTATTTATTCATTCACAGAGTATAAGTAAGACAATGTATCCTGATCAAGATATGTATTTTTTGTAGCAATTATCTTTGTTAGCATGCACAGCTTCACAGTTATCACTGAAAATCAAAATTCACAAAAAGATCCCATCACGAATAATTTTTAAAAATCTGAAATTTATTATTATAATAAAGGAAACAGGGTTTTCAAGTTATTGCTGCATTGCAGTACATGTTTACAGATTAAATTGACAAGGGTAGTGGTATATATGTACAAACGTGAGATTAAAATTTTCGTCAGGTACCTCAACTTTCTAAATTTACATAGTGTATCTGGTCACACTTTTTCTTATCATAATATTTACTAGTTTACAGTAGAAAATTAAGTTATTTTCTTCTTTCCTAATTTTGGGCAATCAAGTTTTGAATTTGGACAAGTTAAAGTTGCCCTTCAGGCAAGTGAATCTGAAAGCTAATGTCTATCCCTGTATGTCGGTCTTCACGGAAACTTTTCAAGCTTACTGGCCAGTAGGACCAGTGAACTTTATAGTTTTACTGGCGCACCAAAAATTTTATTAGCCCCCTTAATTAAAAAAAATGAATATATAATTATAAATTAATACATGCTTGAATGAATATGTTTAAGTACTTCAACTTTAGAAACGTCGCCATTTTTTGCCCTCTTTCATGTTTCGGTAAGTTGTTCATAGGATACTAACACATTTTACGTACTAGTTTAGTTACTAGTTAGTTCCGGTTGTTATGTTGAGAGTTCAGTATATAGAGTAATACATCCATGTTACGTATAATTATACGATGCACCAACACGATTGTACTTTTTATTCAATATATTAATGAAATTTATGCAAGTAAGACAGTTTAAATATATTTTGACTGTGTATGACTTTGAGAATCAACAAGCCCATCAGACTTCTTGAATTTTGATTTTAAGCTAAACGTGACAGTTTACTTGCAATAGACTACAATGGAAGGCAAAAATTTGAAGGCACACTATGCCGAAGACATTTTACAACGAAGAGATCGGCACTGTACCACCAGCATTCCGCTCACAATATGAGTAAGTTTATTTTTTATCAGTTTGTGGTTTTATGATTTATCGTGCATACAAGGTTATATTCTCTTTATAGAGAAGTAGGCAGCTGGTAGAATGTAACATGGTTATAGCATGGTTAGCATTACAAATTTTCTTGGTTGTTGATTGTGCTTTGTTTTTTAAATTGTTTGGTTGATTACCAGACTTTTGAAAATATTTTAAGTAAAACAAACGTATCTTTAAAAAATTAGACAAGGGGACGGGGAGGCAAATACAGTTACTAGCGTACTGCTTTTAAATTAGTGAAGCATCCTCTCCTGTTGTTGATTAGATAGTCGGATATGAATTATTGTTAGGAAATACTATCTTCAAAGCTTCAAAAAGGAAACATTATTTGGTATACAACTCCAGTAATGACAGGTATGAATTTGTAACCAGTATATTATGACACAGACAAAATACTAAATATTTATAAAGAATATAGGAGTATTTTTTAGCCTCAGAGGAATTTTATATTAAACAGCTAGACTGTAATATAATGAAATAATGTAGTGCGATCTGTAGAAGAGGTCAGAGATGGTTTGATTTGTTTACAGTAAATTAAGTTAAATAAATTCCAGGTTATTATGCAAGATTTATTTGTGGTAGTAAAAACTCTATTTCTTAAAAGCAAATGGATTCAATCTACAAAAAGGGCTGACTTAATGCCCTTTGTTTCTAAGGAATAGAGGGCTCCAAGGTAATTGAACCACTTAAATTCACTGTTTAAATTCCCCTTTTTTTATTTTAGCTTTGTAGCTTAAAATGACACTGACATGTTTTAATAAATGATGGACATAAATTTCTTTTTTATCATGTAGGGTCCTATGTTGCTCAAAATGTTTAAAATAAAAGAAACTGCAGTCATTCATATGTTACCATATTTAATTAATGCATTAATTTTCTGCATGTATTGTATTTTGAATATTCATTTTGAAAATAACAGTTTTGTACGTTTAAATATTTTTCAGGCCCACAAAAAAGATTAAAGAAGAAATATATTGATAATCCTGATGCTGTAGTTCCACGCAGTACCAAGCATTACAAACGAAAGAAAGAATCAGATAGTTTTGTCAGTGAACATGGTGAAGAAGAATGCCAGGATGGAGATGAATTGAATATGCCTGCTCTGTCAGAAATAGAGTGCGAAATTATAACTGAGAACCAAGAAAACAATTTAGGTAATTTTCATTCTCACTGACGTAAAAAAAAAAAAGATAAATATTCTCACATATATATAAATGATAATTTTGTTTATTCATGCTGTGTTGTAAAATATGGTCGTTATTCTGTAATGATAATACCAGTACCTGGTACTTGTTTTTTAAAAATTTTTATTACCTATTTATTTAATAGTTTCTAGAACCCTTTAAGTCATTTTAATCTTTATTGAAAGAGAAATAAGATATGGTATGCATGCAAATTAATTACCAATATCAATTGATTAGATGTTAGATGTTCTATTTTAGATATGCATCAGGTTTTAGAGGTTCAAACAGATGTTTTCCAGACTGAGGATAACAACAATACTAGGAAATACGAAGGTGATGACAATCAGTTGTGTATGAATGATGATAAATCTGATGAATATTATTCTAGTGTGGATGGTCATGAAAATAACTTCATCTCCTCATCGGATGAAAGAGAATTTTCAGATTCCTCAGAGTCAGACTCTTCATTTTCTTGTGACGCTGATGAACTTGAAGACAAAGTTGACTATGAAGATGTTGAAATGATGTTGTTGTCTTGTTTCTTAAGGAACAATTTTTCTGCTAGTTCAAGTAAGGATATTTTATCAACTATGAAGAAGGCATTCCCAGACTGTAGACCATTGCAAGAACTATACAGTATGATAATTTGTGGAAACACCTGAATGCAGATTATGCATATGAAGTACATTATTGTGAAAAATGTTTCCACATTTTCCCTGACAATCAGGAAGTGACAACTTGCAGACAATGTGACAGTCCTAGATACAAGCATGGGATGAATGGATCCCAACTTCCTCGTGCTAGTTTTGTTTTTGCAAACATGAAAACACAGTTAAAGAATTTATTGCAGTCTCCAGGTATGAAAATCTTATTCTAGTGTTATGTATACCAACATTTATATATATACATAAACCTTAAAGTATGCATGCATGTATTAATGGATTATTTGTACAGGGTTCTCCATATCTTCAAATTTAACCTTGGCAGAATCTGCAAATTGAAAAACAAAAGCACTAATGGGCAATTGACCATCTAGGTTTCAGAAAAGCAACAGGTTTTTTATAAAATCAATCACAATAAAAAATGTATATGCAGCAACCAATAATGGTATATCTTTATTTATCATTATCTATATATATATTAATTTAACATTTGTAGATTTGTGGGTAGATTTAGATGACATACACATGCATAGACTGTCCTTTCTGACATATTTTATTAACGGTAAACATGGTAAAACACGTTGAGAACCCTGTTTTTATGCAATTTTGTGCTAACCATGTATGAAAGCCATAATAAAAAAGATCCTAGATTCTCATCCCTGCCTGCCCCCTTTTTTTAATTTCTGTTTTCCTTCATAATTCTGATCAAGATCGGTATTCAACTTACGTTTTATATCCTGCAAATGTCAGCTTGATTTTGACAGCTGACAAGATGGTAATTGCTGTAATATGTATTAAACAAGGATCATTGGTTGTGAAAGATTGGTGATGATGTGTAGTAAGTGGTATACATGTTTAAATTGACTTCTAACTATGACTTTTATTCAGACATAATAGATAATTCTGCACCGATTGATCAGGTTAACAAAAAATCTGTACAATGGAAAAAATAAAAAATATATAATAAAATCCGCCCACCCGCCTCGATTTTTCAAAAAAATTGGATGAGAATCAGGGAATTTTTCTGTTATAGCTTAACTCAAAATCTGTGATAATGAGTTATAGTAATTATCTTATTTTCATTCATTGATCCATCAAAGTTAAAGTTGATATATGTCTTCCAAAGATATAATGATCTTGATGTTAGAAATTGAATGTTAGAATCTGACTAGCAATTTCAATTTATACTCTTTGTCTAACCTTTACATTGGCGGATCCAGAGGGGGGTTCCGGGGGTTGGACACCCCCTCCCTTATTTTTTGCCAAGTGGAGAGAGAGAGAGAGAGAGGATAAAACGTTTCCTGAGAATAGATATTTGTACATCTAACTTTTGTATTGAACAGATAGATTCTCACATACTTAGTTTCCTCCATTACCTCCACTATATCTTTCTTTATGAGTGAATGGTAGAAAATATTCTACTTATTTTTATGTATCTTATATATAATAAGTAACATGCGAGGTTTAATTTGATATTAGATTCCCCCGATCGTTGGCTATATATGTACCGTTTTCGGATCATCTTTTGAAGGAACTAACATGGAATTCTTTGTTTTAAACCCCCCACCCTAACCCTCCAAAAAGTTATTCAAATTCTAAAAAAAATTCTTTGTACTCTTTGGAAATGCTGCAAATCCATTCAATTTTAAGGTTTCAGTAGTTTTTAGAATGTGTTTGTTTTTTATTTGGACTTGGGGTACGTTTTCAAAGAATAAAGAGATGTAAAACAAAGATATTATTTACCACAACCTTAGATCTTTCCATGTGTGTGTGTGAATCTTTGAGAGTGTGTATGGGGAGGGAGGGGGGTAGAGGGACACCACCCTGGAACCCCCCTTTCAAAAATTGCTGGATCCGCCCCTGTTTACCATACATTGAATCATACACCTACTGTACAAAAGAATTGACAGCACTTATTTTTGTATGACTTAATTTATAATTGTGATTAATTTTTTTTAAGGGATCTGGAATGACATAAAAGGAAACAAAGAAAGAATTAGAGAAAGGCACTTGGAAAACCCATTCATTTTAACAGATATAACAGATGGCCAAGTATACAAGGCGTTATCATCCAAGGGAAGTTTTTTAGATAGGAACAACAATTTAACAGCACTGATAAACACAGATGGACTAAGTCTTTATTCATCATCAAAAATACAACTTTGGCCAGTTTTTATAGCCATAAATGAAATGACACCAAGTCTTCGATTCGCAAGGGAGAACATCATTTTAGCAGGAATTTGGCAAGGCAAGGGAAAACCACCAATGCTGCAGTATTTGGAACCTTTGTGTGCTATTTTTAACGATTTGTATGAAAATGGTATTGTACTTGATCTGGATGACAGAGAGACCACTGTAAAATTGAAAGTGTTGTGTGGGACATATGATTTACCTGCAAAATCATCCCTTTTAAATATGACTCAGTATAATGGCAGTGAGTCCTGTATCACATGTGAAGAACCAGGAAAAGTAGTTAAACAGGGTAAAGGACATTGCAGAAGTTTTCCTTACAGAGAAAATCCTTACCCTAAACGAAATCAAGAGACAGTCGCCATGTGTATGAGAAACAGTACCAGTGTCAACCGCATAAAAGGATTTAAAGGTAATTCAGCCTTGCTCAACCTTAAAGATTTTGATATTGTGGCAGGTAGTCCCCCAGATTATATGCATGGTGCACTGCTAGGAGTGACAAAATCATTACTGCATAAATGGTTATCTCCAACAGAAAGTAAAAATCCATATTTTGTGGGCAAAAAATTGAAAACGATATCAAAACGAATGACTGGAATACAACCACCCCAGTGTATGGAAAGATTACCAAGAGACCTTGAAAAAAACTATACGCATTTTAAGGCAACTGAATTACAAGCATGGCTTTTATATTATTCCCTTCCTTGCCTGCAGGGAATCTTACCAGATATCTATTTAGAGCATTTTGCTCTTCTTTCGGAAGGAGTATATTTGCTTTTGAAAGACCAAATAACAGGAGAGGATCTAGAAAGGGCGGAAAATGTTTTAGATATGTTTTTCAGACAGTTCTGTACTTTATATCGTGAGGGGACTTGTGGACTGAATGTTCATAACATAGGGACACATTATGCATACTATGTTCATTTGATGGGTCCACTTTGGGCATGGAGTTGTTTCCCCTTTGAAGATTGCAACTCCATGATAACAAAAGCAGTACATGGCACAGGTAATGTAACACATCAAATCATGAAAATTAAAGAAGCTCAAACTTTACTGCGTAATAGTCTTCATTTAAATACTAGTATAAAGGAAAGAAGAATCTGGAAATTGAAAAGTATGTCAAACTGTGAAATTGCTGGGGCCATACAAGAAATTTCTGATGAACATCACAAATATATCATTTTAAACATATTGGATACAGGTACACAGGAAGTTTCTGATATCAAGAAAGTTGATAGAATCCAACTTGATGGCAAAAAAATGTATTCAAACAGTTACACTCGAATGAAGAGGAGATGTTGTCATGTGTACATTACAAAATCAAACAGATTTGTCTTTGTCCAGTATTATGTCTTACATGTACAGACAAGACTAGTATTCGCATTTGTGCTACCATTACAGTTACAACCATGGAGTTTGGGATCCTCTCACGCTGGCAAACATTTTCAGATTGTAACTATAGAAGATACATATGATTTGATTTTGGCTGATCATCTACTAGACAATGTTTGGTTTATTGATGTAAATGACGTTAACGTTAAAAAATTTGTTGTGAAAGCACCAAATACCCATGGACATGCTATTTTCAAGTGATGTAGAGGCAAAACAGCAATTTTGGGGATCAAATTATTTATGTACCTAAATGCATTTATGTGTGTATAATAGGGCTAAATTAAGTAGACACAATGTAATGTCTTGGGATTTTATGTAGATCTACCACAATAAAGTCCTGATTCATGTACATATGACTCTGATTAAAATTCACACCAAACAAATATGTAAACAAGGTGCTTTATAATTTATGATGTAAAAAGCTCTATTATTTACTCTTATTATGTTTGGCTTTCATGTTTCAACACAGACCAGTATTTTAAGTCTGTATTATACCCATCTTTCTTCTCCCATTTATTTTTGAATTGAGTAAGGGGTTTGTATAATATCAGAATATCAGACTTTGATCCTAATTGTTTGGATTTTTATTCTACATAGTTGTAGATTTTGCTGACATGCCGGGAAAATATTTAGGTAATTATTATGTGAAGACATTTCTGCCAAAAATCTGCATCCAATAATTATTATACCATGGGCATCTTAATGTAACAACCAAATGTACAGTATATGGAATGGTAATCATTATTTTTAAAACTTTGTATTCCAGAAATGTAAAATTTATTTGCACTTGGTGATGTCGGGTATTAAAATGTAATTTTAAACTAGCAGAGCCTTTGTATTATTGAATCATTAGAATTAAATCCAAAAAAAAAAATCAAATCATGAATAATCATGAATGTTCATGAATTTGTGTTACACGGTGTCTGACAGAATTTTGAGATAAAAAAAAAAAGATCATTCATGTTCATAAAGATTCATCATTGTTCATGAACTATGAATTATGAATGTTTTCATGAATTTTATTCATGAACTACTTTTATGAAGCTGTTATGAATCTTTTATGAACCATTCATGAACAATTATGAACAACTCATAAAGGTTCTTAAAATCATGAATATCATTTCGCAGGGGTATCTCTCTTTGTTTTCCCAAAGAAGTAATGTTTTATGAAAACTTATATAAATATCTATATAGATATGAAAAATCATTCAAATGTGTTAACTTTTGAAATCTGACTTGGAGGTAGGCGGGAGAACAATACTATCATTGGCAGTTCTTTGTTATATTGACATGGAAGCATCATCAAGTAGTTTAAAATTCATGCCCCCCCCACCCCCCCCCCCCCCTCGGTAATCTTTTCAATACTGAACTGATTTGTGCTTTTGCCTAGCCATTGTGCTCAGGTGAGCAATGTGGCCCATGGGCCTCTTGTTAAACAACTGTTTCTCGATGAATCAGATTCAACTGATTTACATGAAAGTAGAATATAATATAAATATGAATGACTCATAAAACGTGTTATCTGTAGAAAAGTAGCGACTTTTTAGCTCAGCTGAAAGCTCAAGTGAGCTTTTCTGATCACATTTTGTCTGTAGTCTGTCAATAAACTTTTCATATTTTCAACTTCTTCTCTGGGACCACTGGACCAATTTCAACCAAACTTGCCACAAGACATCCTTGGGTACATTGTAAAGGGGATTCAAGTTTATTCAAATGAAAGGCCATGCCCTCATTCAAGGGAAGGTAATTCAGAAATAGTGAAAATTCGGTGGCATGTTTTAAAAATGTTCTTAAGAACCACAGGGCCAAAAAAGTTGAAACTTAAAGAAAACCTTCTTGACATAGTGTAGATTCAAGTTTGTTCAAATGATGACCCCCAAGGGGTAGGGTGGGGCCACAAAGGGGGATCAAAGTTTTATATAGGAATATATTATAGGAAAAAATCTTCTCTAGATGTTTAGTCATATTGATATGGAAGCATCCTCAGATATTGTAGATTCAAGTTCATGTTCAAATGATGATCCCTTAAAGCTTAGGGTGGGGAGGGTCACCATAGGGGATCAAATTCTTACAAAGGAATTTATAGGAAAAAAAATCTTTAAAAATCTTCTGATGAAGATCAGAAAAGCCATTTGTTATATTGATATGGAAGCATCCTCAAGTAGTTTAAAATCCACCCCCACCCCCCTTAGGTAAACTTTTCAATACTGAACTGATTTTTACTTTTTCCTAGCCAATGTGCCCAGATGAGCAATGTGGCCCCTGGGCCTTTTGTTATTTTTCATCATAAGCATGATGAATGGTGTATATTTTCCTCATTATAATGATTTTTTCTCATAATAATTTCCTCATTATAATGATTTTTTCTCATAATAATTTCTAATAGGAAGTATATTTCTAAGGTTTTGTGATTAATGGAATAAATTATTTTGTTTTATCTTTGACAGGTATTGGGGAGGTGTGTTCACATGTTGGTGCTCTTTATTTTTTGCCATTGAAGCCAGTGTTAAGATTAGAAATACCCAACAGTGCTTTCAGAACTGTACAACAAGGACTGTGGATTGCTTCAAAAAGATTTGTTGTTAAAACATTGTGAGGATGCTTTCTCATAAATCAATGTGTCAGAAGAAGAAGCTGTAAACTGTGAAGTTGTAACCAGAGAGCAAGAAAGCTGCAAACAGTCAGGTCACTTCAGGACTTACTTGTGTTAAAAGAGCATACAGAACTTCTATAGAAAATCCATCCAAAATCCTGGTTAAGCAAGAAGTTTTCTTCAAAGGCAACACAGTGAGGCTATGAACACGAGAAAAAGGCACACTGTTATTAAATATGCAACCAAAATGGCCAAGATGCTCACAAATTTTGAAGTAAAGGATGTGGGTTTTGTAATCAGCAGGCAACACCCATACATTGGAGCAAGTCTAGATGGGATTGGTAGTTGTGATTGTTGCAGGGAATTCCTTATTGAAATTAAGCATCCATATTGCAAACGGGATTCTGAGATAAGTGGTTTGATAGACTGCCTTCAATCTGTGAACAGTAACTTGGAGCTGAGTTGGAGGACTCAACAATACTATTAACAGGTACATGGCAGCTGCTTGTGACCGGGAAAGAATTCTATGACTTTGTTGTTTGGACTACTGAAGACATGCTTGTCATAAGAGTATGTTGCAAGGAACACCACTCTGTGTGAGGATATTACTAGAAAATGGTAGGTGTTTTTTAAAGTTCCATTCTGCCAGAACTTAATTTTGGAAAGCTATACCAATATTCCTCTCCAGGAGCAAGTATTGACTGCTGCATTGCCAGCAAATAACATTGGGCAGGATCAAAGAAAGGAAGTTATTTGTGTCTACCAGAAGGAGGAATACTCAAACAATGTCATTGGTTGTGAGGATGAGATCTTCCCTTTTGTGTAGTTGCATTTTGAGTGTGGAAAAACACCAGAATTGCCTAGGTACAGGGAGCCGCCATTTTGGACACCAGGGGGTTGCCAACACCCAAAGTTGTGCAGAGAAGAAAAGCTGACAGGAGTCCTGATTGGTCATTAACAGAAAATCTTTGTGGTGGAATTTGACAGTGAAATATAAGTGATAAAAATGAGATGTGACTTAACAGAATGTGTAAAAAGATATAGGACTTATATAGGAAGACTTGAGATGAGGGGTGATATTTTGCTGGACAATTTCATTCAGTGTGGATCTATACCAGTTGTAAACAGGCCAAAATTTAAAGGAAAAATGCAATGGCACGATATATTTTTCGTGGTGGAATTTTGAAGAAGAGGTGTTGAACTTTGCTTCACAGTGACTGATTTTTTGAATATTGATTATATAAATAAGTGACAGTGATTGGAATTTGTATGGAAGTCTATGGGAAAACATTTGGTGGTGTTTGTCCTATACAGAGGGGGCAAGAACCAGTTTATGAGGTAAGTGAAAGAAAATAGTGCATGTTTAGCGCCATTTGTCATTTTGATTATAAAATTGATGCATTTTTTGATAATTTAAAAGAAAAATTAAATCTTACAAGTGAGCGGGGCCCCCAGGAGGGCACCTGTGTGTATTGGAGGGGTAGGATTTCTTCCTCTGGCTATGGGTTACAAACTGTTTACTGGCCAGAGGAGGGTAGAAAGGTTAAAAAGGCACACAGAGTTGCCCTTATGGCAGAATGGAAACTGACACGGATTCGGTTTCCATGTGACAATGTTGAGTGCAGCCACTTATGTCACAACAAGCTTTGTGTGAACCCCCAGCACCTGGTAGTAGAGTCCCACTCTATCAAACAGGAGAGGATTCACTGCCAGTTGCAGGGGCTGTGCAGCAAGTCACACATGCCCTGGTGCATTTTATGTAATTATATTTTACATGTAAATTTTATTTCATTTAGTTAGGGGTTTTGAATAGCTGTGCTCATTTTTTGCTTAACTTATGAGATTTTTGGTCTTTAAATGACTTTGAAAACATATTCTTTCTGTAGTTTACTTCCTCCTGATGCTGTTCATAATGTTTATACAGCTTTTTTCTTTTGATTACTCTAGTATTTCTATATTTTTTTGATTTCTGATATATTTTTTGCCTTTCATAATTATTCTGAATATTTTTCAGAGATTGACTAACCCTCCCCCCTTCTGGGATGAGGGCACCCACACCAGCACATAAGACCTTTATGGATTCCCCCAGGCCATTATTTGTACTGTGAGCTGCACTGTGCACCCAACCATGAAAGTTGCGTGCAAAAGTGACATTGACATTCTTAGGCAGTGACCGCCTTAGACGCCTATTGAAGCTCTCCACTTTCTGTGTATTGGTATTAAGAATGGATTTGTCTAGCACTGACGGGGCAAGCCGCCTATTGACACAGGCCCGGAGAATCCTTGCATTGGCCCTGGAGTATGGAATTTTGAAGTTTCCATCAAGGTAAGCACTTTTAGCAAGCCAATTTTTAGGTCACCTGAGTCACTCAGGTGACCTTTTGCTATCTGCTTTCGTCCATCGCCGTCTGTTGT